ATATATATATATATATATATATATATATATATATATATATACTTTTGGATAATCGTGTTTTGTATTTTTTATTTAGATGTTAAGTACCTCTCGAATCACTGCGAACATTTCTCCGATAACTTTTTCTTGGATCGAGATAATCATCCGGTGAGTCAGGTCTTGATCTTGGTGGTGGACCTTTGAAACCACGACCTCGAAACGGCGAAACCCTTCCTGGTGGCTGAGTAGGTGAGACACTTCTTGATTCCGGGGTGGCTGGTCTACTTTCGGCAATTATCACGAAACTCGAACGTCGATGAGCCCTACCAAGGGCTGTACCTATCATAACGAGCGTTTCATTTCAACTCTTTCTTTTCAATTTTCGATTATTTCGAGATATAATGTTCTGACTATTGAATATTAAAATTGAAAAATTGTAAAAATAATACATAAAAAATTATAAATAATATATATAATTAAAAATATAAAAGATGAAAATTTCTTTTTTAAATTAATTTTTTATCAATTGAAAAATTGAAATCAACTTTGTTACAAAAATTTATAGAGATGATGAAAAATGTCATTACGAATAACTTTCATACGGGAACTCATCTATCCAGATTCGTTCCGTTTGATAATTAAAAAACGTGACGTGTGTTGTCAGAATACTTTCTCTAAGTAAATCTAGTCTAAAGAAGTAATAGTAAATCATAGTTTTGTCTTTAATTTAGACTTTGATGAAATAATTAAGTTTAGAGTTATAATTTTGTAGTGTTACCTAAACTGATTAGCACATACACATCATATTCTATAATTAGGAAACGAAATGTTTCCGAATATGAGTTTCTATATGAAAGTTGTTCTTCATACTGTATAGATAATAACAACCAAATCGCTTTAATTCATTTATCGAAACATATAAGTACTTCTATTGACAATAATATTTAAAAAACATAAGTAAAGAGAGAAAATTTGTATTGGTTAACACGTTCCGTGCCATGTGTACCACCGGTGGTACACACAGTCATATTTATTTAATACGCTGAAAAAATATAACTTATAACAAATGTAATTCTGTTAAATATATTTCTACCAAAATAATGAGGCATCATACAAAATGCAGTATAGAGCAAAACACACAAGCTTATTTAATTGTTATATTATATATACAATAATTAATTAATTCTACGTGAACGTTTTGTACCAAATGGGAGTTCTATTTCAGTAGAAGTAGAACTAAAACTAAACACAATTAAAAAAATTAAAAGATGAAAAAGAATAATCTAATGAAAGTAAATAATAGAAAAAACTTGTTTTCTAATAGAAACCAATAAAAAACAAAAAAAAATGTTATCCCCGTATATTTACCTACTTCTTCTTTTGTTCATATATTTTATTTCTCTCGTGTTTTATTTAATAAATTCGCGAATGCAACAGAGTTTTTATTAACCGAAAAAGTTTCAAACTGTCTGACATTTGCAATCAAACCGATCGCAGCGCCCCGTATACCACAAGTGGTACAAATGATAACTACTCTAAACAAAAGAATTACTTAATGAAATATTGTCTGATAATATATCAATCTTTAATCTCAAAATGTCAAATGGCCTCTCTGAATGACAAGTTAGTCAAAAATGAGTTGGCACAGAACGTGTTAAATTGGTTAAATTATCTAATCATACCAGATGGCACCAATTTGTATGGTTCCGGTGCGGTTGGTGGTGGCGGTGATGGAGGTTGAGCTGGAAGCTGTAATTTCGGTGATGTTGTCGATCTTTGTTGGGCTGTGATCGACGATGACGACAAGGACGTGCCGAGATAGGAAGAATCTCGTGTCGTAATGACACGAAATGGAGGTGACGCTCCAATTTTACGCGTACCACGAACATCGTCGAAGCGTCTCATCTTAGCTGATCCCTCGAATCCTTCATAGAGCCTGACGTTTTTACTCTCTCACCTAACAATACAAATTATCCAAAATTTATCTCTTTGTTATTATATGAAATATGAAAAAAAAAGTATTCCATATTTAAGTCGTTTATTTTGAAAGTGGCTTAAGTCCATTTATACTTAAATTGAGATATTTAAAGTTTGGTGTTTCAATGCAATTAAAAATATACGTACAGAATACCAATGAGTTATGCTACTTAAGTGTATCTGAAGGTGTTAAATTTACAGTTCTCATTAAAGTAATGGCAATTATTAAGTGAATAATATGCGTTTTCTTACCAAGAATGGAGTTAGGCCACTTTCAAAATTAACAACTAGACTCGTTATAATATTTGAAGGAACCGAAGTCCATTAAACATAATTTAAGATGCTTCAAATTGAAAAAAAACAATACTCATGTTATTTTACATATCTTTATAACACTTTAAAAACATAAATTAATGGATTCAAAACATTTTTTACAAACATAAATTACAAAATAATTTTCTACTCATCTACGTTTTGTGTATGTGAAAGGGATTTAAAGAAATCATGATAAGTCAATTATGTCCTTGAATTTTGCGGTTGTAATTTGTCTGATATTTTTATACAGTGATGTCAATACAATATTTCCGAACTTTCTTGATCTACCCCGACGTGGTAATAAATTCAGGACTTTAAAATTTTCGTTCTCATTCATTGATGTCTTATAGAAAATTTGATACGGTTCATTTTTGACAA